GCGCGGCCCAGGCCGAGCCCAGCAAGGCCAGTCCGCAGAGCCACTGGGCCAGCTTGGTCATGGCGGCCTGAGGGGAGAGAGGAGAGTGGGAGAGGCGTGAGAGGAACAGGGGAGAAAACGGGAGAGCGGCAGAGAAGGAAGGAAGGGGGAACCGGGAGAGACGGAGCGCCCCGCACCGGGCCCAGTCTCACCCGGGGCCTCCTGACCGGAGGGCGGCCCCAATTCCCCCTGGGCCTCCACCCGCCGGACCGAGCCCTCCCCAAGGGCCCAGACCCAGAACCAGAACCCGAACCGGGACACGTGCCCTGCCCCACCCCCACCTGGCTCGGTCCCGCTCCCGGTGCCGGTCCCGCTCCCCGCCCGGCGCAGCGATGACGTCACGGAAGCGCCGCGCGCGCGAAGGCTGCCGGGAATTGTAGTTCGGCAGGGCTGTGCCAGAGCGCGCCCCCTGCTGGCGGGGCGCGGCCTCACCGGGAGCCCTCCGGGAACCCTCCGGGAGCCCCGGTCCGGCCCCGCTCCCGGTGCCGCAGGAAGCGCCGGGCTTTGTGGGCCGCCGCCGGGGCCGCAGGAAGCATCTGGTTTCCTGCACGTCCGGCCGGAGGGGTGCCAGGGAGCCGGCGTGGGAGCGAGTCCCGCCCGCCCTCCCACGGCTGCGGGAACCGCGCCGTTCCCACCCCCCTCCCTCCCCAGCCCCGGTGCCCCCCCCGGGGTCGTGCGGAGGGCACAGACGGGTCTGTGATGCCCTGCCAAAGGGCAGCAGCCTGAGCTGTGCCAGCACAGCTGGGGCTGGATCTCCACAGCCCCCTGCCCACTCCAGTCTGCTCCAATCCTGGCTCCACTCCTTGCAGGTCGGGGCACACAAGGTGCCAGCAGCAAATCTCCCACCCTTGGCCACCCCTGGGCACCCCAGAACCTACCCCAGGCTCCAGGGCTGCTTCCAGCCACGCTGGCACACAGCAGGGCTGGCAGCTGGCACAGGGGACAAGCAGCTACAAAGAAATGGCTTTATTGGGCAGGGAAGGGTCCTGGATCGGCCACAGGGAGGGGGCTGCCCCAGGAAGGGGCAGCAGGACATCAATTTCTCTTCCTGCCCTTGCCAACAGCCTTGGCAGGAGGAGCGACGGGCGCTGTGGACTGGTAGAGAGTGGAGGAGATCTTGTTGATGTAGTAGAGACCCACCATGGAGAAGATGAGGCTAGGAGGGCAGAAGGGAAGAGGCTGCTCAGCTGCTGGGGGCAGCAACATGCTAACACCTTTCCCCTGGGTCCCATCCCCCTGCCCTTCCTAAACAATTTCACCCTTTCCACTCTTCTGCCTTTCCCAAACACTTTCCCCTTGGATCCCACTGTGCTGCCCTTCCTAAACCAACATTTTCTCCTTGGATCCCACTCCCCTGCCCTTCCTGAACTAATTTCCCCCTGGATCCCACTCTCCTGCCCTTCTTAAACCAACAAATTCCATTGGATCCCACTCTCCTGCCCTTCCCAAACACCTTCCCTTCGATCCCACTCTTCTGCCCTTCATAAACCAATAATTTCCCCCTGCCCTTCCTGAACCAATTTCCCCTTGGATCCCTCTCTCCTGCCCTTTCTAAACCATAAATTTCCATTGGATTCTACTCTCTTGCCCTTCCTAAACCAACAATTTCCCCTTGGATCCCACTCTCCTGCCCTTCCTGAACCGATTTCTCCTTGGTTCCCATTCTCCTGCCTTTCCTAAACCAACAATTTCCCCTTGGATCCCACTCTCCTGCCCCTCCTAAACCTTCTCTTGGATCCCACTCTGCTGCCCTTCCTAAAACAGCAATTCCCCCCTGGATCCCATTCTCCTGCCTTTCCTAAACCAACACTTTCCTCTTGGATCCCACTCCTGCCCCTCCTAAACCAACAAATTCCATCGGATCCTACTCCCTTGCCCTTCCTGAAACAACAATTTCCCCTTGCATCCCATTCTCCTGCCCTCCCCACCAGCCCCCTGATGCTCCCTGCCCAGCCTCCTGCCCGCCTCCCAGTGTCCCCCGTGCCCCCTGTGTGTCCCCTCGGTCACTCCCACCCCCCCAAGGACAGCCCAGGACCTACCAGGTGGTCACACAGACCCTGTGGATGAGGCCAGAGGCGAACAGGGCCAGCAGGAGGCAGGTGAGGACTGTGGAGAAGCAGGAGACACACGGTGCTGCAGGGCTGCTCCCGGGGATGGGGGAGCTGCAGAATTTCCCCCAGACGCAGGAGAAGCTCCAGGGCAGGGCTGGGACCATCCAGTGCCACTGCTGGAGCACCCCCAGCCCTTTTGTCACCCCCATGTCCCCCCTGGGCTCCCCCAACACTCACTCTCAGGGAATATCTTGGCCTGGAAGCCCTTCCCGAAGATGAGGTTCTCCAGGTTGTTGAAGGCCTGGGTGTGGAGTTAAGGCAAACGAGGGGATCCTGCTGCCCCCCATTTCCCATCCTGCCAGCCCTCTGCAGGGAAGGGAGCTCTGGAGGGTGTCAGGGACAGTTTGGGGGTGCCATGGGGGCCATGGGGTGGTGTAATAGGGCACCAGGGACAGTTTGGGGGTGCCATGGGGGCCATAAAGGGTGTAATGCGGAGGGCATCAGGCTCAGTTTGGGGGTGCAGTGAGGGCCAGTTTGGGGGTGTAATTGAGAGGGCATCAGGCCCAGATTGGGGGTGCAGTGAGACCCAAAGGGGGTGTAATGGGGAGGACATCAGGCTCAGTTTGGGGGTGCAGTGGGGGCCATAGGGGGGTGTAATTGGGGGAGGGCACCAGGCCCAGTTTGAGGGTGCAATGGGGAGGGCACCAGGTGCAGTGAGGGCCAAAGGGGTGCAGTGGGGAGGGCATCAAGGCCACTTTGGGGGTGCAGTGGGGAGGGCATAGGGGGTGTAATGGGGAGGGCATCAGGCCCAGTTTGGGGGTGCAATGGGGGCCATAGGGGGGTGTAATGGGGGGAGGGCACAAGCACCAGTTTGGGAGTGCAGTGAGGGTCAATTTGGGGGTGCAATAGGGAGGGCATCAGGCCCAGTTTGGGGGTGCAGTGGGGAGGGTACAAGGCCCAGTTTGGGGGTGCAATGGGTGGATGGGGGGGTGCAATGGGGAGGGCACCAGGCCCAGTTTGGGGGTGCAATGGGGAGGGCACCAGGCCCAGTTTGCGGGTGCAGTGGGGAGGGCATCAGGCCCAGTTTGGGGGTGCAATGGGGAGGGCACCAGGCCCAGTTTGGGGGTGCAATGGGGAGGGCATCAGGCCCAGTTTGGGGGTGCAATGGGGAGGGCATCAGGCCCAGTTTGCGGGTGCAATGGGGAGGGCATCAGGCCCAGTCTGGGGATGCAATGGGTGGATGGGATGGGGTGCAATGGGGAAGGCACCAAGACCAGTTTGGGGGTGCAATGGGGAGGGCAGTAGGGGGGTGCTATGGGGGCTGCCTCCCACCACCCCTGTGCTTCCGTTCCCAGCCCCCCGCCCCCTGCAGCCCCCCCGGTGTCCCCGGGATGCTGTGAGGGAGCAGACGAAGAGCGCCGAGCCCAGCAGCCCGCCCTGGATGGTGAGCCACTCGGTGGAGGCCAGCTGCCGGCTGTACATCTGCATCCCTGCGAACAGCAGCAGCGACAGCAGCGACGACAGCGCCAGCGACGTGCCCGTGCCTACGGCTGCGCCCCGGGGCTGCCTCAGCACCGGGACTGGCACCGGCACCGGGGCCACGCTGTGCCCCCCTTCCCTCAGCGCAGCTGCCCCCCCAGGCCCCGTTAACCCCGTTATCCCCGTGCCCCCAGTCACACCTCCATTCCCCTCTCCCCGTTACCCCCCGTTCCCATTAACCCCATTATCCCCGTGCCCCTGCTGCCCCGGTACCCCCCCTCCCGTTAACCCTGTTATCTCCGTGCCCCCAATACCCTCCTGCCCCTTCACACCTCCATTCCCCTCTTCCCGTTACCCCCGGCCCCAGCACCCCCCGTTCCCATTAACCCCGTTATCCCCGTGCCCCTGCTGCCCCGGTATCTACCCCCCGTTCCCGTTAACCCCGTTATCCCAGTGCCCCCAACATCCTATTGTGCCATCACACCTCCATTCCCTGTCCCCGTTACCCCCGGCCCCGGTACCCCCCGTTCCCGTTGACCCCGTTATCTCCGTGTCCCCAATACCCCATGTCCTGTGCCATCACAGCTCCATTCCCCCTCCCCATTGCCCCCTGCCCCATTAACCCCCGCTCTTGTTAACCCCATTATCCCCATGCCCCCAATATCCCATTATGCCATCACCCCTCCGTTCCCTGTCCCCGGTACTCCCCGTTCCCGTTAACCCCATTATACCCGTGCCCCCAATACCGTCCTGCCCTGCCACACCTCCATTCCCTGTCCCCATTGCCCCTTGCCTCGTTACCCCCGTTATCCCCGTGCCCCCAGCATTCCCATCACCACCCCAGTCTCCGTGCCCCCCCCATTCCCCCCCGTTTCCACCCCCGTGCCCCCCCCCCGTTACCCATGGTGCCCCCAGCCCGTCCCGGTGCCGCTCCCGGTACCGCCGTTCTGCGCACGCGCACTCCGCCCGCGCGCAGCGGGGACACGGCAGCACCGCCGGGCCGCGCCACTGCGCATGCGCGGGAGGCCCCGCCCCTTCTAGCGCGCCCCCTCGCGGCCCGGAGTGGCACTGCAGGTCCTCGCTGTCCCAGAGCGCCCTCTGGCGGCGGGGACGGGAACAGCGCGGGGACGGGACCCCCGCACCGAGCACCGGCCCCGGTACCGGCACCGGGAGCACCCCCGGGAACCCCTCCGGGAGTAACGCTGGTACCGGTGCCATGCTCATCCTGCCCACAGCCCGCCCCCTGCGCCGCTCCCCGAGCGTCGCTCCTCGAGGGATGCCCGGGGGTGCGGCGAGAGCATCCCCGCGCCGCTCCCCACCACCCCGCACCGGTGCCGCCCCTCCGGTGTCTCCACCGCCCTCCGGTGCCGGCGGGGCGGGCGCCGCCGAGCATGCGCGCCGCCGCCCCCCGCGCTCCCCCCGGCTCCGCCGCTCCCTGCAACACACCGGGGCGATCGCGGCCGCCGCTGCTGCCGCCGCCGCCGCAGGCACGGGCGCGGGTAGCGGAGCCATGGCCGAGGGCGAGGACCTGCAGACCTTCACCTCCATCATGGACGCGCTCGTCCGCATCAGCGTGAGCGGCCGCGGTGGCGGCGGGGGGGCGGACGGGGGTCCTCCGGGACCGGGTCGCCGTGGCAACGCGGCGGGGACCGGGGGGGGGAGGGCGATGCCCTTGAGGGGTGGGCGGGCAGCGGACCCGCACCCCGAGTCACCGCAGCGACCCCCGGGCATCCCCCGGCATCGGGACCCCCCCCCACCGAGCCGCGGTCGAGCCGGTGGCACCGGGTGCCGAGAGGGCGGCCCCATCCCGGTCCCGGTCTTGGTGCCCAGCCCGGTCCTGGCGCTGGTCCCAGGGCTCTGCTGTGGGTCCAGTTCCAGTCCCCATCCCAGCCCCCAGCGCCATCCTGGCCCCCATCTTCCTCTCCATCCCAGTTCCAATCCCACACCCATCCCAGTCCCCATCCCCATCCCAGCCCTGGGCCCATCCTGGTGCTGATCCCAGTGCTGGTCCTCATCCCCATCCCAGCCCCGGGCCCATCCTGGTGCTGATCACAGTGGTGGCCCCCATCCCCATTGCATTGCCAGTCCTGATACTGGTGTGATCCTGGGCCCAGTCCCAATCCCATCCCCACACCAGGCCTGGGCCCCATCCAGGTTCTGATCCCAGTGCTGGTGCTGATTCTGACCATGCTGCTGCTCCCAGGCCTGATCCTGGCTCTGATGCTTGTCCCTGTCCTCATCATCCTCCCATCCCTGCTCCTGCTCCTGGTTCTGGTGCTGCTCCCAGGCCTGATCCTGACCCTGCTGTGATCCAGCCTCAGTCCCCAGCCCCATCCCAGTGCTGATCCTGGTTCTGACCATGCTGCTGCTCCCAGGCCTGATCCTGGCCATGATGCTGCTCCTGGTGGCAGTGCTGGCCCCAGTCCTGGTCCTGCTGTGGCCCCAGTTCCCATCTGGGCTTCATCCTGCTGCTGGCGCTGACTTCCAGGCCTGATCCTGGCCATGATGCTGGTCCCAGCTTTTGCCCCTATCCCAGTGCTGCTCCTGACACTGGCCCTGCTCCTGGCTGTGGTTCCAGTGCTGGCCCTGATCTTGGCCCTGTTGCTGATCCCAGCTCCATTCCTCATCTCAGTGGCAGCCCTGATCCTCATCCTGCTGCTACTCCTGGTGTTTGTCCTCATCCCGTCCCTGGTGCTGGTCCCAGGCCCCATCATTGCCCTGATGGTGGTCCCTGTCCTTGTCTCCATCCCAGCCTGGCTCTCAGTACTGGTCCTGATCCTGGTCCTGGTCCTGATGCTGAACCTGGCCCTGGTGTTAATTCCAGGCCCTGGTGCTGATCCCAGCCCTGATGCTGATCCTGGCCCAGGTGCTGGTCCTGGCCCTGGCCCTAGTGCTGGTCCCAGGCCCTGATTCTGATATCAGCCCTGATGTCCTGATGGCCTTGACTTCCCTGTGGTCCTGACCCTGATCCTGGCCCTCGTGCTAATCTCAGCCCTGATATTGATGCTGGCCCTGGTGCTGATCCTGGCCCAGGTGCTGGTCCCAGGCCCTGACCCCAGCCTTCGTGATGGTCCTAGCCCTGATTCTGATCCTGGCCCTGGTGCTGGTCCTGGCTCCAGTCCTGGCCCTGGTGTTAATCTCAGCCTTGATGTTGATCCTGGCCCTGGTGTTGGTTCTGGCCCAGGTGCTGGTCCTGGCCCTGATTCTGGCCCTGGTGCTGATCCTGACCTGATGCTGATCTCAGCCCTGTTCCTAGCCCTGGTGCTGGTCTCAGCCCTGGTGCTGGTCATGGCCCTGATCCTGGTCCTGGTGCTGATCCTGGCCCTAGAGCTGTTCCCAGGCCCTGATCCCAGTCATGGTGCTAATCTCAGTCCTGGTGCTGATCCTGGTCCTGGTGCTGGTCCTGGCCCTGATCCTGGTCCTGGCCCTGATCCTAGCCCTGGTCCTAGTCCTGGCCCTGGTGCTGATCTCAGCCCCGGTGCTGGTCCTGACCCTGGTGCTGATCTCAGCCCTGATGCTGGCCCTGCTCCTGGCCCTGGTGCTGGTCCTGGCCCAGATCCTGGCCCTGGTCCTGGTTCTGCTCCTGGCCCAGATCCTGGCCCTGGTGCTGGTGCTGGCCCAGATCCTGGCTCTGGTGCCGGTCCCATCTGGTCCAGCCCCGCTGTGTCCCCAGCGGGTGACGCTCCCGCTCTCTCCGCAGACCAGCATGAAGAACATGGAGCGGGAGCTGGTGTGCCCGGTGTGCAAGGAGATGTACAAGCAGCCGCTGGCCCTGCCCTGTACCCACAACGTGTGCCACGTGTGTGCCAGCGAGGTGCTGCTGCAGCACGGGCACCTGTACTGCGACCCCACCTCCGAGCCCACCTCGCCCGCTGCCACCCCCTCCACCCGCAGCCCCCGCCTGGGCCGCAGGGCTGTCCCCAAACCCGACCGGCTGGACCGCCTGCTCAAGTCAGGTGGGGCTGGAGGGACAGCGAGGGGACAGGGATGGCTGGAGACAGCGGGGGTGGCTGAGGGGATGGGGACAGGGATGGCTGGAGGGGTTTGGGACAGCTGAAGGGGATGGGGACAGGGATGGCTGGAGAGGTTTGGGGCAGCTGGAGGAGACAAAGATGGCTGGAGAGACAGAGGTGGCTGGAGAGGATGAGGACAGGGATGGCTGGAGGGGTTTGGGACAGCCAGAGGGGATGGGGACAGCTGGAGGGGACAGGGATGGCTGGAGAGGAAAGGGGTGGCTGGAGAGGTTTGGGATAGCCAGAGGGGATGGGGACAGAGATGGCTGGAGGAGAGGGGGACAGCTGGAGGGGACAGGGATGGCTATAGATGGTGTGGGTGGCTGAGGGGATGGGGACAGGAATGGCTGGAGAGGTTTGGGACAGCCAGAGGGGATGGGGACAGGGGTGGCTGGAGAGGACAGGGACAGGATGGAGAGGATGGGGACAGGATGGGAACAGGCTGGAGAGGATGGGAACAGGGATGGCTGGAGGTGTTTGGGACAGCTGGAGGGGATGGGGACAGCTGGAGGGGACAGAGATGGTTGGAGAGGACAGGGGTGGCTGGAGAGGATGAGGACAGGGATGGCTGGAGGGATTTGGGACGGCCAGAGGGGTCAGGACAGGGATGGCTGGAGGAGAGGGGGATGGATGGAGGTGACAGGGATGGATGGTTGGAGGAGATGGGGACAGCAGAGGGGACAGGAATGGCTGGAGAGGACAGGGATGGCTGGAGGGGTTTGGGACAGCTAGAGGAGAGGGGGATGGCTGGAGGAGAAAGGGATGGCTGGAGGGGACAGGGATGACCGGAGAGGATGAGGACAGGGATGGCTGGAGAGACAGGGATGGCTGGAGGGAACAGGGATGGATGGAGGGGAAGGGAATGGCTGGAGGGGATGGCAGAGGGAATAGCAACAACAGAGGAGGTGAGCATGACTGGAAAGGACAGGAACAGGGATGGCTGGAGGGGTTGGGAACAGAGACAACAGGAAGGGACAGAGGTGAGGATGGGTCTCTTTGCCCTGCTGACTCCATCCCCGCCTGTTTCCCACAGGCTTTGGCACCTACCCGGGGCGCAAGCGCGGCGCCGTGCACCCGCAGACCGTCAGCTTCCCGTGCCCCGCCTGCCAGCGGGACGTGGACCTGGGCGAGCGGGGCCTGGGCAGCCTCTTCCGCAACCTGACCCTGGAGCGCGTGGTGGAGCGCTACCGGCAGACCATCAACATCAGCGCCGCCATCATGTGCCAGTTCTGCAAGCCCCCGCAGCTGGAGGCCACCAAGGGCTGCACGGAGTGCAAGTCCAGCTTCTGCAATGAGTGCTTCAAGCTCTACCACCCCTGGGGCACGCAGAAAGCCCAGCATGAGCCCACGCCCCCCACCCTCACCTTCCGCCCCAAGGTGGGTCCTTCTGCCCACCTTAATCCTCCTGATTAAGGCTGAGAGGGTTGGGACTGTTCAGCCTGGAGAGGAGAAGGTTTGGGGTTACCAAATTGTGGCCTTCTGGTGTTTGAAGGGAGCTTTTGAAAGAATAGGGCAAGACTGTTTACAAGAGCCTGGAGTGACAGAATAAAGGGCATTGGGTTCAGATTGAAAGGGAGTAAGTTTAGGTTAGAAATTAGGAAAAAATTCTTGTAGTGAGTGTGGTGTGGTTCTGGGACACGGTGCCCTGGAAGTGTTCAAGGCCAAGGTAGGGCTCTGAGCAATGGGGTCTGGTTGAGGATGTCCCTGCTCATGTCAGGCAGGTTAGAACAAGATGATCTTCCAGGTGCCCTTCCAACCCCAACCATTCTGTGACGCTGAGATCTGGGGTGCAGGGGTGGGACTCTCGGGGGTGGAGGGAGGTGCAGACCCCCCTGAGCCCCGCTGTGCTCATGCAGGGGCTGATGTGCCCGGAGCACAAGGAGGAGGTGACTCACTACTGCAAGACCTGCCAGCGGCTGGTGTGCCAGCTCTGCCGCGTGCGCCGCACCCACACCAGCCACAAGATCACCCCGGTGCTCAGCGCCTACCAGGCCCTCAGGGTAAGGGCTCCTGGGGCCAGGCTGGGGCTCTGTGGGGAATTGGGGGCACCACAGAGCCCCAGTGCAGATGGGGGGTGTGGGGTGGGGGCTGCTGGCACCGCTTCTCATCACCTTCCTGCAGGAGAAGCTGACAAAGAGCCTCGCCTACATCCTGAGCAGCCAGGACACGGTGCAGACCCAGATTGCTGAGCTGGAGGAGACAGTGAAGCACACAGAGGTAAGGGCAGAGGGTGCCCATCTGTCCCTGAATTGTCCCTAGGCAGAGGTGGCACAGCCAGCCCGGTCCCCTCTGATCCCAGGAGGTGCCACACGCTGACCCTGCCATGCCTGTGCCCGGCAGGTGAACGGCTCACAGGCCAAGGAAGAGGTGTCCCAGCTGATCCAGGGGCTCTGTGCCATGCTGGAGGAGAAGCGGGCCACGCTGCTGCAGGCCATCGAGGAGTGCCAGCAGGAGCGGCTGGCCAGCCTGCACGGCCAGATCCGGGAGCACCAGGCCATGCTGGAGAACTCGGGCATGGTGGGCTATGCCCAGGAGGTGCTGAAGGAGACTGACCACCCCTGCTTTGTCCAGGCTGCCAAGCAGCTGCACAACAGGTACTGGGCTGTGGGCATGGAGCTGCCAGGGGGCGTTGGGACCCTCTGGTGCCCGCGGTGCCACCCTGACATCGCCGCTCTCCTGTGCTGCAGGATCCTCAGGGCCACCGATTCGCTGCAGAGCTTCCGTCCTGCAGCCAACGCCTCCTTCAGCCACTTCCAGCTGGATGTCAGCAGGGAGCTGAAGTTGCTCACTGACCTGGCCTTCATCCGAGGTAAAGGCACCGGGACCCGGGCACCGGCTGTGCCCCGTGCCCAGGCACAGCCCCTGCGGGCAGAGCGGGTCGCTGCCCGCCTCGGAGCTGCAGCTCAGCCACGGCTGCTCGCGGATCTGCCGGTGCCCCCTCCCCGTCAGGGACAGCCCCCGCCCCAGCAGCCCCCAGAGATACCCCTGCCCTGCCCTGTGCCAGGGCGCCGGGGCCAGGGGCAGGCAGGCAGGGCCGTGGTGCCAGGTGAGGGCAGCAGCAGCGCCGCGGGGTGAGTACGGAGCTGCCCCCGCTGCCGGGCAGGCGCTTCCCGCAGGGCAGGAGCCGCGTGGCCCTGCCAGACCCGCTGGCGACACGTTTCAGACCTGCTTCTACCTCTCTTTGTTTATAGGCTGCGGCCGCTGCCGAGGCGTCACCGAAGTAACTGAGGCAAGTCACACCCCTGCCCCAGAGCCGCCCCGCTCTCTCTTGCCATCCCTCCATCCTGCTCCCGTCCCTGGCCCCGCTCCGCCACCATCCTCCATCCCCTCCATCCCCGTCCTGCCCGCCGGCACTGGCAGCCGGTGGCTCTGCCTCCTCCATCTGCCGCCCTCCTCCTGCCCTCCCGCCCCCTCTCGCCACATTTCCATCCCCATCCTCACCCCATTTGCATCCCCCTCGCGCCCCATTTCTGTCCCACTCCTTGCCCCATTTCCATCCCCTTCCTCACCCCATTTCTGCCCCATCCTCACCCCATTTCCATCCCCCTCGCGCCCCATTTCTGTCCCACCCCTTGCTCCATTTCCATCCCCTTCCTCACCCCATTTCCATCCCCATCCTCACCCCATTTCCGTCCCCCTCGCGCCCCATTTCTGTCCCTCTTCTTGCTCCCTTTCCATCTTCTTTGCCCCGTTTCCGCCCCCTCTCACCCCATTTCTATCCCCCTCGCGCCCCATTTCTGTCCCCCTCCTTGCTCCATTTCCATTCCCTTCCTTGCCCCATTTCTGCCCTCTCTCGCCCTATTTCCATCCCCTTCCCTGCTCCATTTCTGTTCAGCTCTCACCCCACTTCTGTCCACATCCTCACCTCACTTCTGTCCCATTCATCATCCAGTTTTCTGCTCCCTCCTCATCCCATTTCCACTCTCCCTTGCCCCGTTTCAACCCCATCCTTGCCCTTTTCCCACTTTCTTCTCATCCTGTTTCCATTCCCCCACTCTCCATTTCCATCCTAGTCTCACCCCATTTCCACCCCAGTCTCACCCCATTTCCATCCTTTTCCACACTCCATTTTCATTCTCTCCTTGCTCCATTTCCACCCCTCTCCTTGTTCCATTTTCTTCCCTCTCTTGTCCCATTTCCATTCCCTTTCTTGCCTCGTATTTGTCCCCCCTTCACCCCATTTATGTCCAGATTCCTCTCCCATTTATTTTCCCATCTGCACCCCATTTCTCTCCCGCTTTCACCCCATTTCCCTTTTCTTCCTCATTCTATTTCCACCCCTCTCCTCATCCCATTTCTTTCCCCCTTGTCCCATTCCCATCTGCCTCCTCACCCCAATTCCATCCTGCTCACCCCATTTCTTTCCCTTTCTGCATCCCTTTCCCACCTTGTCCTTGCCCCATTGTTGCCCCATTTCCATTCTCCTTCTCTCTGTATTTCCATCCTACTCTCACCCCATTTCTGTCCTCTTCCTCTCCTATTTCCATCCCTCTCCTTGCCCCATTTCTACCTCCCTCCTCATCCTGTTTCCTTTCTCTTCCTTGCCCCATTCCCATCCTTTCCTTACCCCTCTCCCACCTGCCACCCTTCATCTCCCCTCCCCGCCCTGCCTCTGTTCCTGCCAGTACCTTCTACCACCCTCCATCCCCATCCCCATCCCCATCTCCTCTTCCTCCTCCTCTCCTGCTGCCTCCGTTTTCTCTCTTTCTCTCTCTCTCTCTCCTCCCTCCTGACTTGCACTCGGCCTGTCTGGTCCCTGGAGCCCCACAGCAGCAGCTCCTCTGTCTCCCCGACTCTCGCTCTCCTCCGGTGCCGACACACGGTCCTCCGCAGTCAGACCCCTTTAGACTCCGCTGGTTGTGCGTCCGTCCGTCCGTCCGTCCGGAATCCCGGAATGCCCCCTCCCTGCGTCCGGCCGCCTCCCTGCCCGCGGGGTGAGGGATGCTGCCTGACGCCCGCTGCCGCCTCTCCCCGCAGCGCCTGAGGCCCCCGTCATCGACACGCAGCGCACCTACACCTACGACCAGATCTTCCTGTGCTGGCGGCTGCCGCAGCACTCGCCGCCCGCCTGGCACTACACCGTGGAGTTCCGCAAGACCGACGCCAAGGCCAAGGGGCTGAAGCTGTGGCAGCGGCGGGAGGAGGTCAGGGGCACCTGCGCCCTCGTCGAGTACCTGGACACCGACAGCGTCTACGTGCTCCGGGTGAAGGGCTACAACAAGGCGGGTTTTGGGGACTACAGCGAGGACATCTACCTGCACACGCCGCCCGCCCCAGGTGAGCGGGGATGGGATCACGTTGGGGTCACCAGAGGGGTATCACCTGCCCGCCCCAGGTGAGATAGGATGGGATCACGTCGGGGTCACCACTTGTCACTGCTCCAGGTAAGAGGGGGATGGGATTGTCACCAATTGTCACCAAAGGGGTATTGCCCACCCACCCCGGGTGAGAGGGGATGGGATCACATCAGGGTCACCAATTGTAACTGCAGGGGTATTGCCCGCCCACCCCAGGTGAGAGGGGATGAGGTCACATCGGGACCACCAATTGTCACCAAAGGGGTGTCGCTCACCCGCCCCAGGTGAGCGGGGATGGGATCACGTTGGGGTCACCAATTGTTACCAAAGGGGTGTCACCCGCTCACCCCAGGTGAGAGGGGACGGGATCACGTCGGGGTCACCAACTGTCACCAAAGTGGTGTCACCTGCCCGCCCCAGGTGAGAGGGGACGGGATCACGTCAGGATCACCTTGTCACTGCAGGGGTATCAGGGACAGACGAAGGTGATATGGAGACACTCCATCATCAGAAGGCATGAAAGGCACTTTGTTATTATAAATCTACAGTTCTTATAGAAACAAAGGTAGACCTAAGACCTGATTGGCCTTTAGGAATCTTCTCTCACCTGTTGGCCAAGAAGGGACAGCCACTTCTTGTAAACATCTTTGACAAACAGATTGGCTGCTAGGTGCAGAAATTGAGATCATAATTGTTTTAATTCTTTCTCTGAGCTTTCTCACAGCTTCCCAGGAAAATCCTGGGAGAACTACGTCTCTCTCTGTTCAGAGGATATGTGATTACCACACATGGGTGCTTGGATCAACGCGGGGCGCCCCGCTGTGCTGTGCTGCTCACCTTTTTCCTCTTTGCTCCCCACAGTCCTCAACTTCTTCCTGGACAACCGCTGGGGCTTCAACCGGGACCGGCTGGCCATCAGCAAGGACCAGCGTGCGGTGCGCAGCGTGCCCGGCATCCCCATGCTCTTCGCCGCCGAGCGCCTCATGACCAGTTGCCACCTGTCCATCGACCTGGTCATCGGCGACGTGGCCATCACCCAGGGCAAGAGCTACTGGGCCTGCTGTGTGGACCCCAGCTCCTACCTGGTCAAGGTGGGCGTGGGGCTGGAGAGCAAGCTGCAGGAGTGGTTCCAGGTGCCGCAGGACGTGGTGAGCCCCAGGTGAGCATGGGAGGTGCAGGGTTTGTTCCTGCCTCCCCAGCTGGGTGTCAGGGGGCTCCCAGAGGGGACAGCTTTCCACTGGGGCCAGAATAAACTCCTTCAGCATTGCTGGGGAATCCCATGAGTGGCCAATCCACCCAGGGGGGCTGCTGGGTGCTGAGGCACCTTCTCAGAGTGGATATGGGAGCTGGATCCCCCCACCTGGGTACTCTGCATGGCAGATGGAGGGGCCACAGGTGGGGCAGGGCCCTCCTGGGTGGATGCCAGTCCGTGGAGGTGTGGGGGGATCTCCAGCCTGTCCCGTGGGAGGACTCATCTGTGCCCCCTGCACAGGTATGACCCCGACAGTGGCCACGACAGCGGGGCAGAGGACACAACGGTGGAGGCGCCTCCTCCCTACGCCTTCCTCACCATCGGCATGGGCAAGATCCTGCTGTCCCACGGCTCGGCCCTCACGTCCCGCGACCCCAACGGCTGCACCGTGCCCCTGCCCCCGCGCATTGGCATCTGCCTGGACTACGAGCAGGGCAAGGTGAGCTTCTACGACGCCGTGTCCTTCCGCGAGCTCTGGGAGTGTGGCGTGGACTGCTCGGGGCCCGTCTGCCCCGCCTTCTGCTTCATCGGAGGGGGGGCCCTGCACCTGCAGGAGCTGGTGGCCAACAAGCAGGAGAGGAAAGTGACCATTGGGAACTTTGCCAAGCTGGACTGAGCCACGCCCGCGGTCCCCACATGGCCCCCGGGCACCCTGCGAGCACCAGGGGGACACAAGTGGCCAGGGAGCAGAGCAGAGCAGAGCAGGGGTGGCCCCGGCCGTGCCGCCACCGGGGACAGGCCAGGTGTTTGTTTTGTGGGATGGGGGGGACGGGGACAGCTTTGCCGTCCCCTCCTCACCCTGTCTGCCTGCCCCTGGCTCCAGCTCAGCCCCAGGCTGCTCTGGGCTGGGGCTGTGGGCAGGGCTGGCAGAGGGTCAGCCCTAGAGAGGGGTCAGGGAGGGGGACGGGGCTGCGCAGGGAGGGGGGTGGAAGGTGACAGTGGGGTGACAGTGCAGGGGAGAAGCTGGGTGCTGGTTGGGGTGGGGGAGGCAGCTGGGGTGGGGGAGAGGGAGGTGGGGGGAGGCTGGGCTGGAACAAGGTGTGAAGATGTTTTGTAAAATGGCTCATTTTCAACGTGGATCATCCGGCTGCAGCCAGGCACAGCCCCTGCACGCAGCCAGCGTGGGGTCCCTCCCGTGGGCTGCCGAGCACCCCGGTGCCTGCCGCCTGCTCTGCCCTGTCCTTGGGGAGCAACGTGCCTGGCCAGCCCTGCACGTGGCCTCAGGGCCACGCTTGGCTCCCATTACACCTCTGGGTGCCCAACCCATGGCCGGGGTGGGCTGGGCCTGCAGGGTCTGGATCTGACCTGCCAGGGAGCCCCAGCACAGCCATGGGGGCTGTGCCAGCAGCCCCACGCCGGGCTCTGTCCGAGCTGCTGTCATTTCTCCTGGGTTCTGTTACAACAAACGCTGTATTTTCATGGTTTCCTACAATAAACTGCAATGCCAGACTCGTCCAAAGCCTCCCTGGCACAGGGGTGGCCATGGGACCGAGCTATCTGTGGGGCTGGAGTGTGCATGGGGGCAGGGTGACAAGGGACATGAGGACCTTGGGTCTGGGTTGGCTGGGGGGTCACAGGGCTGTAGGGTCATGGGGCTGTGAGGTTGCAGGGCTGTGGTGGGGTCATGGAGCTCTGCGGTCATTGGGTTGTGGGGTCTCAGGGCTGTGGGGTCTCAGAGCTATGGGGTCTCTGGGCTGTGGGATCTCAGGACTATGGGGTCTCCGGGCTGTGGGGTCTCAGGGCTATGGGGTCACAGGGCTGTGGGGTCTCAGGACTATGGGGTCTCAGGGCTGCGGGATCTCAGGACTATGGGGTCTCTGGGCTGTGGGGTCTCAGGGCTATGGGATCTCAGGGCTATGGGGTCTCAGGGCTGCTGGGTCACAGGGCTGTGGGACTGCAGGGCTGTGGGGTCTCAGGGCTGTGGGGTTGCAGGGATGTGGGGTCATGGGACTATTGGGTCACAGGGCTGTGGGGTAGCAAGGTTGTAGTGGCACAGGACTGTGGGATAGTAGGGCTGTGGGATCACAGGGCTATGGGATCACAGAGTTGTGGGGTCTCAGGGCTGTGGAGTCACAGGGCTATGGGGTCTCAGAGCTGTGGGGATGCAGGGCTGTGGGGATGCAGGGCTGTGGGGTTTCAGGACTATGGGGTCTCAGGGCTATGGGGTAGCAGGGCTGTAGTGTCACAGGGCTGTGGGGTCACAGGGCTGTGGGGCTGCAGGGTTGTAGTGTCTCAGGGCTATGGGCTCTCAGGGCTCCGGGCTCTCAGGGCAGTGGTGCTGGGCTGGCCATGGGCCCATGGGAGCAGGCTGTCCAGCAGCACGTGTCCCGAGGCGTGCACGGGCCCGGGGCCATGGGGCTGGGCTGTCCTTTGGGCCGTGGCCAGCAGGTGCCAACCGTGCCCAGCCCGGGCAGCGCTGACGTGTCAGGTGCTGCCCATGCTCTGCCTGGCCACGTGGTCACTGCCACCCATCACAGGGGGCTCCTGGAGGGGACAGCTCTCCACTGGGCCCAGATAAACTCCTTCGGCATTGCTGGGGAGTCCCGTGGGCAGCCAGAACAGCCTGGGGGGCTGCTGGGTGCTGAGGCACCTTCTCAGATGGGTATTGGAGCTGGACCCCCACACCTGGGTACTCTGCATGGCAGCTGGAGGGGCCACAGGTGGGTGGGTGCCTGTCCCTGGAGCTCCCAGCCCCTAAGCTGGAAGGGGAAGGGGCCACAGGGCTGAGCTCTCTGTGAACAGGCAACTCTTTGTAGGGCCCAGCCCTTCAAATCAGGGCCCTGTTCTGATCCCTGGGGCCCTGCCCAGGCCTGGGTGGGGCTGAGGGGGGAAGCAGCCGTGCCAGGCACACCCCATCCCCTTTGGGGCTCTGTGCTAAGCACACAACCCCGTATCCAGCTGGCAGAAAGGATCTGGGGCTGGGGGGTGCTCCACTGTGCCAGACCCCCATCAATGCACCCCCCAGCAGTCTCAGGGAGCCCCCTGTTCTCAGCGACCCCTTGGCTGCACTCCAGCCCAGCTCTGATAGCTGCCAGCACGTGCCAGGTTTCCTGGGCACCTGGCACAGCCACGGGCCCCACCCAGAGCCCACATTCTGTGGCCGAGGGCTCCATCAGCTGCCCAGTGCTGCTCCTGGGGCTGCTCCCACCCAGCCAAGCCCTGGCGCCGTGCCTGCCACCACACGGGCTTTTCTTTGGGCAAGGGTTGCTTTCCTTGTTTTTCTGCCTTTTCAGCTGTTGCCAAAACACTCCCAGTGCCCAGGAACGGGGCCCAGCTCAAACTGGAGCTGCCAGGGGGCCGCCAGGGATGGCTGCTCCCAAGGTTTGTGCCCTGCTGCTGCCACGCAGCCTCTTCTTGCAGCATCCCCCAGAGCCTTTTTGGGGCTCAGTGAGGGTTTGGAAGAGCCTGGGCTCACAGGGGAGGGGAGCAGGACACGCTGCAGGCAGCCAGGGACGCACGTGCAGCTGAACATTCCGCCTGTGCAGCCACGGGGAAAGCGGGCATGTCAAACCAGACACGGTAAGCCGTGAGCAGAAACTGCCAGGAGGGGTGAGAGGGACAGGGTCTGGCAGGATGGGTGACATCCAGAGGGGGTGACACGGTGACACCCCCAGCAGCAAGTCCAGCATTGCCTGGAATGGCAAACAAGAGCCACCACCCAAGCCCAGGCCACACCTCGGCGGGCGCCAGCCCTGTCCCAGAGAAGCCCCCCTGGCACACGGCTGCCCCCCATCCTTTTATTTGAACCGTGATAAATACACCCCAGCCCAGGAGCTGCCACCCCGCCGAGCCAAGCCCGGCACCAACACCCCGCAAACAGAGATATTTATATCAAATAACACCACAAAAAGAGCCGTTGAATCGCAGGGGGAGCCCGAGCCCCGTCCTCCTGGCACGGAGCAGGGTTGCAAAGCCAAGCGAGTGCGGGGACCGTGGGCTGTGTGCGGGATCCTCCCTCTCCCATCTCCGCTCGTGCAGTTCTGTCATGTGCGCGAATCCGGCTGCTCCAGAACCGTCCGGCTCCCGCTGCCCACGGCCGAGCAGCACCGGGGGATGCGCCCGGGGCCGGTGCTGCCCTCCCGGGAGTGGGGGGCGGCTCTCTGGGGCTGCCCCCTCCCCTCGGCAGCCGCGCTGCTTCCAGCCAGCCCTTCACAGGTTGTCGGAGCCGGCGGTGGGGTTGGTGTAGGTGAAGGTGCCGGACCTCGTGGTGCTGCCGCCGGCCACCTTCGGGGCAGGAAAGGTGAGGGGGTGTCAGGGCTGGGCTGAGCCCCCATCCTAGGGCAGCACAGAAGGACCTGCACCCTCTCCGTGCCAACTGTGGGCAAGCAAAAATTGCATTCTCCCACTGTGGTGGGCACAGGAAGATCTGCACCCACTCCATGCCCACTATGGGCAAGCCTCCCACCATGGTGGGCACAGGAAGACCTGCACTCCCTACATGCCCACTGTGGGCAACTAAGAATTGCATCCTCCCACTGTGGTGGGCACAGAAGGACCTGCACCCTCCCATGCCCACTATGGGCAAGGAAAAATCGCATCCTTCCACTATGGTGGGCATAGGAAGATCTGCACCCTCTCCACAGCCACTGTGGGCAACCAAAAATCGCATTCTCCCACTGTGGTGGGCACAGAAAGATCTGCACCCACTCCATGCCCACTATGGGCAAGCCTCCCACCATGGTGGGCACAGGAAGATCTGCACCCTCTACATGCCCACTGTGGGCAACTAAAGATCGCATCCTCCCACTGTGGTGGGCACAGGAAGACCTGCACTCCCTCCATGCCCATTATGGACAAGCAAAATTTGCATCCTCCCATTGTGGTAGGCACAGGAGGACCTGCAGCCTCTCCATGCCCACTGCGGGCATGCAAAAATCGCATCCTCCCATCGTGATGGGCTGCTGCCCCTATCCATGGGCACTGTGGCACCCTGAGCCTCCAACCATGGGCACTGTGGGCACCCTGAGCCCCCATCCATGGGCACTGCGGGCACCTGGGACCCCCATCCATGGGCACTGCGGGCACCCCGGGCCCCCATCCATGGGCACTGCGGGCACCTGAGACCCCCATCCATGGGCACTGCGGGCACCCCGGGCCCCCATCCATGGGCACTGCGGGCACCTGAGACCCCCATCCATGGGCACTGCGGGCACCCCGGGCCCCCAGGGACACCCCGGGCCGCCGCTCCCCGTGCGCAGGAGGAGCCGCGGCGGCCCCGGCCGTGTTCCCGCACGATAAGCCGGCCCGGCGAGTGCGAGGGTAAATATTTACCCAGGCCCCTGGTATTTGCTCAGGGTGAGCTGCTCTCAGGGAGCCGGAGCAGCTGGACACGGCCCCGCCTGGGGGGAGCACAGGGCGGCCCCCCGTGCCCACCAAGGCCTGGCAGAGCCATCTGTGGCTCCCGGCAGCACAGCAGCAGCGCCGGCTCCAGTTTGGGAGCTGCCGGTGCGGGATGAGGGATGCTGGCTGCGGGAATCACCTCCTCAGCAACCCCTCCATCAGCTCTGCAGTGCCCCAGCGCTGCTTCCACCCGCGGCAGAGCTGAGGGACGCAGCAGGGCCGGAGAAGGGGCAGGGTGGGCAGGCAGCGAGCCCCCTGATGCCGGGCACGGGGAGAGGCTGCCCAAGGTCGGGGGAGCTCCCCGGAGCCGGGCCGGGTCTGCCCGCGCTGGCTGCTGCTCCAGCCAGGCGTGAATGTTACACTCACCTCCCGGCGGGGCTGGTGAGGGACGAGCTCCCTGTACACCCGTCGCTGCCCCGCCATCCCCGTCCCAGCCATCTCCGTCCCTGCCCAGCCATCTCCGTCCCTGCCCTGCCATCTCCGTCCCTGCCATCCCCATCCCTGCCATCCCTGTCCCTGCCCTGCCATCTCAGTCCCTGCCATCACTGTCCCTGTCCTGCCATCTCCGTCCCTGCCCTGCCATCTCCGTCCCTGCCATCCCTATCCCTGCCATCCCTGTCCCTGCCCTGCCATCCCTGTCCCTGCCCTGCCATCTCAGTCCCTGCCATCACTGTCCCTGTCCTGCCATCTCTGTCCCTCCCCGCCATCTCCACTCCTGCCCTGCCATCCCTGTCCCAGCCATCTCTGTCCCTGCCATCTCCGTCCCTGCCCTGCCATCCCTGTCCCAGCCATCTCTGTCCCTGCCATCCTCATCCCCGTTCCTGCCATCTCCGTCCCTGCCATCTCTGTCCCTGCCATCCCCGTCCCTGTCCCTGCCATCCCCATCCCTGCCATCTCCATCCCTGCCCTGCCACCTCCATCCCTGCCCTGCCATCCCTGTCCCGTCCCTGCCATCTCTGTCCCTGCCATCCCCGTCCCTGCCCTGCCATCATCTCCCACTAACCCAGGGATTCACCCCTGCTCCCTGGGAGCCCCCAGGTGTGGGGCCCTGGCTCTCACCTGGCTGTAGGGGTTGGGTTTGCTGTTGGGGGACACGTAGCGCCCGTGGCTCTGGTACTGCAGGTACTCAGCCATGGGGTGGTAGGAATCCTTCTGGCTGAGCAGGTCCAGCTTCCCTCGGCTCTTGCGGCGGCAGGTGCAGGTGGACTTGGGGAGAGACAGGGGTCAGGGCTTGGCTGGTGTGGGGACAGGGGTGGGGTGCAGGTGAGGGGTGGGGTGGGGCCTCACCATCAGGAGGAGACAGGTGAAGATGGTGAAGAGCAGCAGGATGCTGACCAGGACCAACAGAGCGATGGCCCAGTCCGGGATCATGGGCGCTGGAGCTGGGGATATCACTGCTGCAGAGCCTGAAAGGAGCAGAGCTGTGTGTGCACCACAGGCAGAGCTGGGACAGAGCCCTGAGAGGTCCCTGGGACAGGACACAGGGTCTGAGCCCTGCTGAGTGGGATCCTGCCTGACACAGGCACTGGGAATGTGCCCCACCCTCTGCAAGCCCCAAGCCCATCACAGCACCAAGCAAGCCTCAACCAGGACAGGGCAATGCTTCTGGAGCCCCCCAAGCTTCCCCCAGGCTCCATCCCCGCCCCTCCCCAGCCTCTCACTCTGGATGCTGTCCAGCTGCAGGCCCATGATGAAGCCGTTCTGGTCCAGGCTCTTCCTCAGGCGCTGCTCAGCAGCGTCGGCAGTGACGGCATCGCTTCCATTCCCAAACACGAGGGTGGACTGGACCTGCACCGAGCCTTGGCTGCATGGGAGGAGACATCAGCACCCAGACTGCCCCCTGAGGGGGTACAAACCAGGGGGATACACTGCAGCACACCTCAGTGGCGCTGCTGCTGCTCACCTGTACTGCAGCTCGCTGCACCCGGTGTAGGTCTGCGTGCCCATGCAGCCCGGGCAGCCAAAGACGTGTTGGAACTGGAAGGAAGCATTGAGGTCATGGCCACCTCCCCAAGACATAGACACAGACACAGACACCCCACTTTCCTGTCTCCATGCAGAACTGGCAGAATGGATGCTTCCATGGAAAGCCCCAAATTGAGGGGGGTCCTTCCCAGCACAACCTCTGCCCCAAATTGAGGGGGCTCCTTCCCAGCACAACCTCTGCCCCAAATTGAGCTGGCTCCTTCCCAGCACAGCCCAGAGCCTCTGCTGGTGGGGCTGGGACTCACCATGGTCAGGACAGTGCGGCTCAGGCTCCTGTAATCCTCTGATGCTGGGTCACGCAGGCTCTCGTTGAAGCTCCTGTTGATGATACGGAAGGACAGCGGGACACGGACGAGCAGCTGGGCAGGACCAGGCAGCTGGGCTGAGGTTTTGCTGGGGTTGGGACCACCCTGGGTGGGAGCTGTGCTGCTCTCAGACGTTATCTGGGTGGGAAAGACCTGAGCACTGGTGCTCCCGTTGCCTTTGGTGCTGCCGTGCATGGTGGTGGGAGCAGCAGAGCTGCCGTTGGTGCCAAGATGGGGTGCCCAGCTGCTGCTGTTTGAGGTGGCATTGGCATGGGGCATGGCTGGGCTGCTGGGGACAGGCACCACAGTGCCATTGGATGTGGCATTGCTGGTGGAGTGGTTGCCAAACTGGAGGTTCGTGGTGTTTTTGCCAGGGGACGCAGTGGCGTAGGGGAAGACAGGGGTTTGGGGCCGGCTGGCCCGTGTGCTTTTGGGGAATATATTTGGCAGCCAGGTGCTGGCGGTGCTTTCCGTGGTCATCTCCACGGTGGTCGTTTCGGTGGTTTCCATCTCCATGGTTGTCTCGGTGGTCATGGCACGGGTACCTGGAGGAAACCCCTGGAGTCAACACCTGCAGCCCACTCGGGGAAGGTTTCACCCAAAACACCTCATCAGCTGGGCACTGTGGGCAGCACCACAACCCCCAGCACCCACGAGGCAAACGAGACCTGCAGCAACACCCCAAGATCGGGCACTTGTGGCACCACCAAGGGTCCAGGTGCAGCTGGCTGGGCACTGACACCAGCGCCATGCCCAGCCCTGCAAACCCTGGCATGCCACCCAACAAAGACCCCCTTGCTGAGGGTGACAGGCTGGGCGCCCTCGTGCCCTCCAGACCTGCCTGGCCTGGCTGGGGGCCAGCACGGGCAGCTCTCGGGCAGGTTCCCAGCGGGGTCTGGGTGCTCAGCGGGACACACCTGCATTCCAGCCCGCCAGCCCCGGGCACAGCCTGCTCCGGCTGGTCCCAGCACAGCCCAGCCCTTGGCCGAGCTGTGGACACGGCAGAGGGGCCGTGCCCTGAGCCCCCAGGTACCAACACACCTGGGCACGACCAGCCCCGGGGTGCTGCACGCCAGAGCCAGAACAGGGCGCCAGGATGCCGCTGGTGCCAGCATCCCCCAGTCCCCACTTTGATAGGGATCCCACTCTGCTCCCCCTGCCCCTCACCTGTGCCCAGCCCCTCACCTGTGCCCAGCACCAGCAGCAGCAGAAGGACAGGGAGCGCCATGGGGCTCGTCCAGGGGGTGCCGGCGCCTCTCGGGGCTCGGCAGCGGCTGCTCTCCCGTTAGCCGGTGGCACACCCCTCACTCCAGGGATCCGGAACTGGCAGCTCGGCAGCGGCCTGAGCTTTATAGAGCACCTGGAGCAGGTGGGGAGGCCCCGCCCCGCCGCCGGCTCCAGGCAGGGGGGGTCGTTCTGCCCCGCTTGGCACAGGGGTGCCACGGCGCCCATGGGGCACCCGCAGCATCAGCCCCCCAGGTTGGGTCCTTCACGCTTCCCTGGCTCTGGAGATGCCGCTGGCAGCGTCCCCGTGCCACGGGTGGGCACAGCCCCGGTGGGCACAGGACGGGACAGCAGCCGGGCATCCCGGGGCAGGGGTGGAGCAGCATCTGCCGGGCTGCCCACGCTGAGCTACCGACCTGGCGGGGGGCACGGGGGGCACACGGAGCCCCCCAGCCCCTCGCGCAGGGGGGGCCTCATCCTCCGGCTCAGCCCAGGGTTAATCATTAGCGGCTGGTCATCGCCTCGCCCTACACTCAAATAAGCAGCGGTGACCCCCCCGAAACGATTACGCAGGTACAGCCCAGGGCCCCACCACATCCCAGCGCCTCCCAGTAAGGTCCCTCCAAGCGCTAGGCCCCCCCCCGGCAGGCACAAACCCCCATCCCCAGCCAGGACACGGGTGATGCCAGGTGCCAGCGCCCCACCTCACAGGTAACGGGCACCGCCCGTGCCTGGGCGCAGGTGACATGGGCTCCTGGCACGGATGGGCATCAAAAGCTACTGGTCTCACTCTGCAGAAGTTCCTGATCCCTGGGAGAGCCTCAATCTCTCAGCAAGGTGCTGATTCCTGTGAGGGTCCCGGTTCCTGGGGAGGTCATGGTTGGGATCCCCACATTTGGCTCCTGGCCAGCCTCGTGTGAGGCCAAAGTGCCACCACGGCCATGCCAAAGGGTTCTGAAGTGGTGCTGAGAAGGGGAGCAGAGAGGGGGGACTCTCCATGCTGCAGTGATTGAGGGCAAGGGATGGATGTGCAGGTGGGGTGGAATTCAGCACCACTCTGCTCCCCCCACAGCAGCCACAGCCTGGGCAAGCCAGGCCACGTGCAGGCAGCTGCAGGCAGGATGCAGGCAGCACCTCTGGGCAAACATTTCCTTCCCAAAAGGCCTCACCACGGGAAAGGCTCTCCCCGTGCTGTGATGCTGACCCTGCTGCCCTCTGCTCCAGCCCTAATCCCCCTCCCCACGCAGCTCTGGGGGGGTTTTTCACTGAGCCAGCCATCCCCCCAGGGTGAGGGCTGCAGTTTTCATCCTGCAGACCCCACAGAGGACACACTATGTGGGGGGCTGAAGGGCAGAAGTGTCCCAGCAACTGCTCTCACCCACCAGCCCTGGGAGCAGGGGCCATTAGCCCACCCTGTCCATGCCCAGTGGGTTCCATGTGCCCACCCTGACCATGCCCAGTGGGTTCCATGTGCCCACCCTGACCATGCCCAGTGGGTCTGTGCGTCCACCTTGTCTTGTGGGTCTGTACATCCACCCTGTCCATGACCAGTGCGTTCCATGTGCCCACCCTGTCCATGCTCAGGGGGTTTCCTGTGTCCACCTTGTCCATGTCCAGTGGGTTCCATGTGTCCATTCTGTCTGCCCAGTCAGTCCCATGTGTCCACCCAATCCATGCCCAGTGGGTTCCATGTGCCCACCCTGCCCATGTCTGGTGGGTCCTGTGTGCCCACCACCCCATGGGTTCCATGTGTTCCTTGTGGGTTTTATCCGCCCAACCCCACCCTGCCCAATGGATTCTGCGTGCCCAACCTCACGATGTCCAATGGGTCACATGTGCCCACGCCCACCCTGTCTGGTGGGCCCAGTGTGTCCACCCTGTCCATGCCCAGTGGATCCCCCGTGTCCAGCCTGTCTGTGCCTAGTGTGTCCAGCCTGTCCATGCCAGTGGATTCCCTGTGTCCAGCCTGTCTGTGCCCAGTGTGTCCAGCCTGTCCGTGCCCAGTGGATCCCCCGTGTCCAGCCTGTCTGTGCCCAGTGTGTCCCCTATGTCCACCCTGTCCGTGTTCGGTGGATCCCGCGTGTGCAGCCTGTCCATCCCTGGTGGAATCCCTGTGTCCAGCCTATCAATGCCCAGTGGATCCCGTGTGTCAACCCTGTCCATGCCCGGTGTGTCCCGTGTGTCCGTGCCCGGTAAATCCCATGTGTTCACCCTGTCCGTGCCCAGTGTGTCCGTGTGTCCATGCTCAGTAGATCCCCTGTGCCCAGCCTGTCCGTGCCCAGTGTGTCCGTGTGTCCGTGCCCTGTGTCCAGTCTGTCCGTGCCCAGTGTGTCCGTGTGTCCATGCCCGGTGTGTCCGTGTGTCCGTGCCCGGTGTGTCCGTGTGTCCGTGCCCTCTGTCCAGTCTGTCCGTGCCCAGTGTGTCCGTGTGTCCGGGTCCGGTGTGTCCGTGTGTCCCGGCCCGGTGGTCTCGGCTCTCCCCGTCCCCGCCCCGGGCCGGTGGCCCCGAACCTGCGGCGCCCCCTGGCGGACACAGCCCCGCATGACGCTCCCGCCGCGCACCGGGACCAGAACCGGGACCAGAACCGGGAGGGGAAAGGTTACTCCACTAGAGTGAGACCGGGAGCGAGACAGGGACTGGGACTGGAATGAGAGCGGAACCGCTGCTGGGAACAGACCGGGAGCGGCATCGGGAGTCGACTGCAGTAAAGCAGAACGGGAGTGAGACCGATAGTGGAGCGAAACGGGAGCGGGACTAGGAAAGGGAGCAGGAGATAGAGCAGGAGCGGAGCGGGACCGCACCGGGAATGGAACCGGGAACGGTACCGGACCGGGAGCAGAGAGGGAGCAGAAGAAGGACCGGAACAGGAACGGAAACCGCGGCGCCCCTCGCAGCTCGGGGGCGCGGGAGGAGGCGCTCAGCAGCCAGCGGTGATTTCACCTGTCCCGGTACTCCCGGGGAGAGCCAGCTGCGCTCCCTCCGCGGCCCCGGGCACAGGCCCCGGCCCCACTCCCGTACCCAACACCGGAGGGCAACCCCGCGTTGCCCTTTTAAGAGGGGCCCGGTGTCGCCGCGCCCATTGTCGCCGCCGCCGCCGCCGCGGGGCGGGGGGGCCGGGCCGGTGCCGGGGCGGGCGGGATGGGGGGGGTGGGGGCACATTCCGCCGCGTTGCCGGGACAGCCGTCGCCGTGGCGACCGGTCCCTGCCGCCGAGCCGCGGTGCGCGCCGCGCAGTTCCCACGGAGCGGCCCGGGCGGCGGCGGCGGCGGCTCCGCTCCCTCCGGGGCGGCGGGAGGGCCGGGATGCGGTGCAGTGTTGTGCTCTCGCCCACCAATATTGCACTCGTCCCGGCCTCCCGCCGCCGCGGGCTGCGCCGGTGGGACCGGCCGGGCGCTGACCCAACCCCGCGACCACCGGGAGGACGGCGCGGGACGGAACCGAGAGCACGGGGGGCGGGGGGGACCCGTGGGAACCCCCAAAGGAGCGGGCGCGCAGGGTAGAAAACACTCAAAACTTTATGGCCAGGCGTGGGGCAAGGACCGGAGCGCCCGGGGCAGGCGTGGCGGGAGCCCCGGCACTGCGGGGCCCCGGTACTGGCAGTGCAAAGTCCGCGGGGGGCCGGGAACGGGGCCCGGCCGGGAGGAGCGGCGGGGCCCGGTGCGCGCCCGGGTGCCGCTGCTGGCGGGAGCCCGGAGCGCCACCGGTGCCGCTGGCGGGGGAGGCCCGTGCCGGGCGCGGTCACTCGCGTCCCTCCAGCAGGAACCGGCGGAAGGGCTCGAAGTCGGCGGGGATCGTGTCTGTGGGAGCAGCGCGGGGGGCGTCAGGAGCCGCCGAGGGCGGCGAGCCCCGGTAAAGCCCCCGGGCCAGGGCTGAGCCCGCCGCGGGGGCACCGGAGGGGACGCTCGGCCGCCGGGCCGGGGCGGGGGTCCCGGGGGGTCCTGCTCACCGTTGCAGCGGTACTGCAGGTTGGACCAGATGATGTTCTCCTGGGAGAAGCAGAAGACCCCCAGCCGGCCCCCGCGCATCGTGGTGTCGATGATCACACCGGAGTCGGCTACCAGCTGCGGGCCCTCGTACAGACGGACCCTGCCGGGGAACGGGGCCCGACCGCTCAGCGGGCCCTCACCGGGACCCCGCCGGGGCCAGCTCCGGGATTCCACCGGTACCCGACCGGCAAACACCGGGATCCCACTGAGACGCCATCGGGGCCAGCACCCGGATCCCACTGGGACCCCTCCACGAGCAGCACCGGGCCCAGGGCATCCCGGCCCGGGGACGGTGGCACCGGGCTGGAGCCTGGGCATCCTGCGGGAGACTGGGCCGGGGGCACCGGAGCGGCTGGGGCACCGGAGCGGCTGGATGCTCGGGCCGGGGCCCCCCGCCGTGGCCGGGCTGAAGCCCCCCGCGCCGCCCCCGGCCCGGCCCCGCCGCCTTTGTCGGGCGCTTTGCATGTGAAAGGCGCCGGCGGGGTCGCCATGGCGACGGGACAATGGCCCCGGGGGCCCGGGGGGCGGAGGGCCCGGCGGCGGAGCCCCCCCGCCGCGGCCGCCCCGGCGGGAGCCTTAAAGGAGAAACGCGGCTGCGGCCCCACCGGGCAGGAACCCTCCCCATGGCCAAAATCCCCCCAGTGCGGTGGTCTCAGGGGCTGGATCCCCCCATGGCCAGCATCGCCACACTGTGGTGGTCCCGCAGGGCTAGATCCCCCCATGGCCAGCATCCCCTCACTAAGGTGATCCCACAGAGCTGGATCCTCCCATGGCCAGCATCTCCTCACTAAGGTGGTCCCACAGGGTTGGATCCCCCCATGGCCAGCATCCCCACACTGCAGTGGTCCTACAGAGCTGGATCACCCCATGGCCAGCATCCCTTCACTAAGGTGGTCCCACAGAGCTGGATCCCCCCATGGCTGGCATCTCCACACTTTGGTGGTCTCAGGGGCTGGATCCCCCCATGGCCAAAATCCCCCCTCTGTGATGGTCCCACAGGGCTGGATCCCCCCATGGCCAGC